CTCTCTCTCTCTCTCTCTCTCTCTCTCTCTCTCTCTCTCTCTCTGCGCTTTCTGCCATCAGAGGATACAAAAAGAAGTGGACTCTGCAACCTGGAAGAGTCTTCACCAAAACCCAATCGTGCTGAAACATCTCAAACTTACAGCCTTCAGAACTGTGAGAAATAAATGTTTGTTTTTTAAACCGCTCAGTCTAGAGGCACCTGGGTGACTCGGTCAGTTAAGCTGACTTTGACTCAGGTCATGATCTGATTCAGTTAAGCTTCTGACTTTGGCTCAGGTCATGATCTCACAGTTTGTGGGTTCGAGCCCCATGTCGGGCTCTGTGCTGACAGCTCAGAGCCTGGAGCCTGCTTCGGATTCTGTCTCCCTCTGTCTCTTTGCTCCTCCCCTGTTTGTACTCTCACTCTCTCTCTCGCTCTCTCTCAAAAATAAACATTTGGGGCGCCTGGGTGGCGCAGTCGGTTAAGCGTACGACTTTAGCCAGGTCACGATCTCGCGGTCCGTGAGTTCGAGCCCCGCGTCGGGCTCTGGGCTGATAGCTCAGAGCCTGGAGCCTGTTTCCGATTCTGTGTCTCCCTCTCTCTCTGTCCCTCCCTCGTTCATGCTCTGTCTCTCTGTCCCAAAAATAAATAAACATTGACAAAAAAATTAAAAAAAAAAATAAACATTTTAAACCACTTGGTCTAAGGTAGTTTATTATAGCAGTCCACACTGACCAAGATACCATTTTTTTATTCTGTTAGTAGCAATACTTTTATGATAGAAATTTTCCCTCATGGTCTAGTTTATCTCATGGTAAAGATACAAGGAAGGATAGACTGTTGATCCTTTCTCTTTATTTTACCAGTTAATTGGTTTGCTATCATCCCCTGAAAGTGACCAATGAAATTGTTTATATGTATAATAATATATTTAGATATTTAATGGGATATATTTAGATATTAATGGAGTTCATATTTGATTGCAATTATTATCCTCATTGAAGTTCAAATCGTCCTATCTCTAGTCAATGGGAACCCTTCAAATTGGCTTCCTTGCTATCTGGAATAGCAAGAAGTTCAAGGAGCATCTTGTACATTTTCTGCTTCAAATCTGAAATCAGCCATTTCTCCAAGAAGCCCTGATTTCTTTTAGTGGAAAAAGGTATTTCAGAACCACTATTTGGGGGCACCTGGGTGTCACAGTCAATTGAGCATCTGACTTCGGCTCAGGTCATGATCTCGTATTTCGTGAGTTTGAGCCCTGCATTGGGCTCACTGCTGTCAGCACAGAGCCGCCTCGGATCCTTCGTCCCCCTTTCTCTCTGTCCCTCCCCTACTCACACCCTCTCTCAAAAAATCAATAAACATTAAAAAAAAAAAAAAAACAAAACTACTATTTGGACACTAGGGACGCTCATAGCTACTGGCCTGACCATAGTTTCTACAATTTATTTAACGCTACTCTGTGCCAGGCATTGCTTTAAGCTTTTCACAAATGTTAATTTGTTTATTCTTCATAGCAAACCTATTATTATCATCAAACTAAATCCCCATTTTACGGATGAGGAAGTTGAGGTACAGGGAAATTATGTAAATTGTTTAAAGTCACACAACTTGTAAGTGGCAGAGCCAAGATTAATATCCACAATCTTTACTCATCTTGATATACTTCCTCCCAGTTGACCTGTTTTCAGATGCCCACCCCTAGGCTAGGAGAAGGCAAAAAAAAAAACCCTGACTTACAGACCCACTAAGACACCCCCATCCTGGGAGGCCAAAAATACAAACAAAAACAAATGTCCATTACATTAGTATATTTAAAAAAAAAGTCACTAACTCAAGATTATACAGCACCATTTTTATTATAGGCATTTCAATAATTAAATTTTGAAGAACCATATAAAATGACATATGATACAGAACGAGGTTCTCTTACAAAAGTTTAGATCAATCAGTTTCATTACAATTAAGACCAAGCAGCCAAAGAAAAAAAAGAATAGATTGACCCACAATAGATTAATCCCCAAAACCTCAGGAATAAACACGCAAGCAAGCTTGAAGTTTACTGTGACACAAATTGTGTATTCAGCCAAAAGGAGTATTTTCTTGTTAGTTATTCAACATTTGGCCCTGAGAGGACACGGGGCCATTAGCATGTGAATGATCTGACCCATCCTCCTCTTCCAAAGCAATAATATCTGGAATTTCATCAGTCTCAGATGTCAAGTCTATAGCAGTGAAATCAAATACCTGTAAAAGAAGAATCTTGGATATTAAAACAAACACTGGTGAACTGCACTGTCCTCATGGAGACCCTGATTACTGCATGTGAATGAGCCTCCCTTTCTCCATAGCCATGCTTCCTGAAAGGTGTTTAGTCATATTACCACAGTTCACTCATATTATAAAACTTCTCTTTAAAATGAAACTAGGGGCGCCTGGGTGGCGCAGTCGGTTAAGCGTCCGACTTCAGCCAGGTCACGATCTCGCGGTCCGGGAGTTCGAGCCCCGCGTCAGGCTCTGGGCTGATGGCTCAGAGCCTGGAGCCTGTTTCCGATTCTGTGTCTCCCTCTCTCTCTGACCCTCCCCCATTCGTGCTCTGTCTCTCTCTGTCCCAAAAATAAATAAATGTTGAAAAAAAAAATTTTTTTTTAATAAAAATAAAAAAAAATAAAATAAAATGAAACTAACTAGGGGGGAACTTACTAAATGAAAGTTTTCTTGAAAATACAAAATGTAAGGCATTTCCAGTTATTCATCTATTAATCTACTATTCTCTTAAAATCAGTAGTAATATTCCACTTTTCCAGAAGTCTGACTTACAAATATAACCCTTTTGGGCAACATCTAGGAACTGAGGAAGGAAAAGGTGTTTTAATAGTTGAAACAGCCATCCCAAAGTCCTATTCTTCTCTGCATAGGAAAGGCTTTTAGGGATAAGAAGTTCTATTAACTCTTACTTTACATACAATTTTGATAAGCTATGCGATGTTTCTTAGGCGACAGCAGATTAAAAGCAGAAAATTAGTAAGGTGTAATAAATTACTAAAGGCTGGAATCTTGATAGCAGAGAAAAAAAAGTTAGCTAATTATCTAACAGAAGCAAAACAACAAAAATCCATCAAAATGCAGACAACAGGAGGGAAGAGTGAGGAGTTACTGTTTAATAGTTACAGTTTATGCTTGGAATAATGATAAAGTTCTAGAAATAGAAAGTGATAATGATGGCACAACATGGTGAATGTACCTAATGCCATTGAATTGTACGCTTAAGAATGGCTAAAATGGGGGCGCCTGGGTGGCATAGTCAGTTAAGCGTCCAACTTCAGCTCAGGTCATGATTTCACGGTTTATGAGTTCGGGCCCTGCGTTGAACTCTGTGCTGACAGCTCAGAGCCAGAAGCCTGCTTCAGATTATGTGTCTCCCTCTCTCTCTCTGCCCCTCCCCCCCTCATGCTGTGTCTCTGTCTCTCAAAAACGAATAAACATTAAAAAAAAAAAAAGAATGGCTAAAATGGTAAATTTGATGCTGTGTACATTTCACAATTAAGAAAGAGTAAAAATGAAACCAGAGGAAAAACAGACAAGAAGAGGGAATCTTGTTTATCTTCCCAAAGAACTCAGGTGCTCAGAGAACTGTCTGGCCTGAGGTACAAACTTCTACCATTTATTCTTGAGGCTCTCAGTTTGGGTAGATCAAACTACATTCTAGCTATTTATCAATGTTCGCCTTGCAAAGATTCGATCCAACCTGACATCCACCAAAGCCAGCAATGCTTATACAATTTGATTCAGAGCATCAGTCAGACAAGCCAACTATTGCAATTTGAGCTTTAGTAGGTTAAAAGATACACCTTACTTAGCTCTCTCTTCTAAACTATGTCTGTTAATAGTATGTTTTAACATCCAGTATGACTTTGTTTTTAACAAATATAAAATAGAACAGGAAGGTACAACGCAAGAAGCTACAGGCAGAGAGATTTTCTGGGCCCCAAAGAGGCAAGCTGCAGTTTTCTCTTATCAGAGAGCTAGAGTGCTAGAACAGGAAAAAAAAAAAAAAAAAAAAAAAAAAAAAAAAATGCATGCACTTTGACAACAGTAAGACATCAAACTAAAACCCCATCCTACCACCCACCTCTTCTCAACCTGTCTCCTCACCTCTCACATGAGGAAGATACCTGATTTGGTTACAGATGAAGAATGAAGGTAGAATGAGCCTAACTTGTAAAAGTTGCTCAGTAAAGAGTAGCTTTTATTTTCATATGTTCCTTAAATACCAACACACACACACACACACACACACACACACACACACTACCTCCAAAGTCACCTAACTTGTCCTATCTTTGCAGAAGGTTGGGGATCCCAAACTTAGAATTTTTGGAGAAAAGTTTTCAGCACCACTATCAAAAAAAAAAAAAAAAAAAAACAAAAAAAACAACTCTAGTACCTGAGATGCTTTACAAGAGTCATGTGAATAATTCCCCTTCCATATATCCAGAATGATCCAGAGTGTATAATGTCCATTAAATTCTTGGCTACCAGTAAAACCTACTTGGAGGCTGTGAATAGAGGGTAGGACAACTAAGAGGTAGTCACAATCCATCAAGTTTCCATGGTGAGTTTAATGTAAAATGTAGTGATTGTGCCTGACCATCTTCATGAGAAATGTGGCACAAGAGAAATCATTTCGCACATCTATAAAATAAATCCTTTTTCACTGACATGAGCAAGTGTAGTTTGGACCATTGATGGAGTGTAAGGAGTCTCTTTCAGAGAAAACCCATTCAGGGATAGAGGCCACACTCAAGAATCTGGTACTTACTATGGAATTAATGAGATAATCATAGTCTCCCCCTGAAAGGACAGGAAACCATCAACACATGCTTTTCAGGAAACCAAGTGACCATGCTAGGATTCCTGCAACCTGTTCATACAACGTCTGGGGCACCTTTCATAACATAGACTTCATTGATTCGCATATTTATTATAACAACTTTCCAGAAGGTGGCACTATAAGGTGCCATTTTCTAATTTGCCTAACAGTAGGCTAGTGCTTGGTGGCCTGGTGCCCTGGCTAAGGTGAGACTATTACAGAAATAAAAATAACATCTGTGGGAAGGTAACTTGCTAGTAAAGGTGTATATGCAATGCTGATATGACACAGAATCAGGAAAATTGGTTTATTTTGAAATAGAGTAAGTATAGAAGCGCTAATGTAGTGACAAGAAGAAACTGAAATTTAAGTTTGTATAAAAGTAATTTGATTTCTAGTGTTATGAAAGGATCATGCAAGAGGTAGTGAGTGACTAGCTCTATCACCAAATACGTAAGATAAACCCTGGTGAGAGTTCGATTTAGCACAAACATCTCACCACCCAGAACAGATTGCATATGCAGCTTGTTTATGTGCTTGTGAGCTACAGAACTCTGTTTTACATGAACACTGTTTTACATCAACACTGAGTACCATCCCCTGGTGCACATCACCTTCCCTACTGTAGAAACACCCTCTTGTACCCTGATGCTTTGTCCTCAGCCAACAAGAGTCTGTGGAAGTGATTAGAACTCTTAGCAAAGGGAGCAGGTTGACACCGATCACAAAGTAATCCTTGGTATGTATCCATTGCACAGCATTCAGCTAGTCACTGTTAACTCCTGTGTATTCCATTCATTTGAGCAGGTAAATCAAGCGTAGGTCTTAGGACACTTTATGGAACCCACACTGGGAGTCTTGTTTGGAGAAAAGGAACTATAGGTAACCCTAGTCCTGTTTCCTTTGCTTCTCTAACAGTATTCAGTGGGTCACCTACAGTAGAATCACTAGGGATGATGCTATTTTAAGGGATGCTTTGATTTTTTTTTAAGGGATGCTTTTTTCTTTTTTTTTTAATTTTTTTTTTAACGTTTATTTATTTTTGAGACAGAGAGAGACAGAGCATGAATCAGGGAGGGTCAGAGAGAGGGAGACACAGAATCTGAAATAGGCTCCAGGCTCTGAGCTGTCAGCACAGAGCCCGACGCGGGGCTCGAACTCACGGACCGCGAGATCATGACCTGAGCCAAAGTAGGACGCTTAATCGACTGAGCCACCCAGGCGCCCCTAAGGGATGCTTTTAAAAACTGCAGATGTCTGGTACTACCACCAGACTAGTAACCAGATTCTCTGGAGGTGGAACCCATGAATCTGCATTTTGTCAATTTCTCCAGTTGATAATCCTAATCCCTGGCATAGACAAAGAGGGCAGAACACTCCCTGGTGTGCTGTTAACCATGCCAAGAGTTCATTTTATACACGGGAGTCAGTCTGATTGATCCATTAACTACCTCCTTAGCTGAGTTTTCCTGTGCTCTAGCCTGTGCAGACAAAACAAAAGTTGAAGTGCTTCATTCACACCATTCAACGTCTACTCTTATTAACGCTAAGCTTTAATTTAAATGGTTGGATAGGGGCGCCTGGGTGGCTCAGTCAGTTAAGCATCTCAGTTCAGCTCAGCTCAGGATCTGGCAGTTTGGGGTTTCCCAGCCCCACATCAGTGGCTCTGCTGTCAGCATGGAGCCCACTTCAAATCCTCTGTTCCCCCCTCTCTCTGCCCCTCCCTTCCTTGGTCTCTCTCTCAAAAATAAGCATTTTTTAAAACCATAAAAAAATAAATAAATAAGTGGATGGATGGAATAAAAGCCAAAATACAAGTGTTGGTGAAGATGTGGAGAAAACAGAATCCTCATACCTTGCTGGTGGGCACGTAAAATAGTACAGCCACTTTGGAAAACAGTTTGGCAGTTTCTCAAACAAGTAAACACATGGTGTCTATGACCTACTCTCCATTCCATTCCCACACATATACCCAAGAGACATGAAGACATAATTTAAGTGGTAACTAGTTCTCCAACACTACCTACATAAAAGTACCATTTAATCTATTCACTACTTTTGTGAGATGTAGTTAACACTTTCCTTTTTTTTTTAGTTTATTTGAGACAGAGCAAGCATGAGCAAGGGAGGGGCAGAGACACAGAGAGAGAGAGAGAATCCCAAGGCTCTGCACACTGTCCAAGAACTCATGAACCATGAAATCATGACCAGAGTCAAAACCAAGAGTCGGACACTTATTTAACTGACTGAACCATCCAGGCACTCCTTTCCTAAGTTCTAGAAGACATTAGAACGTTTTTTTTCCCCTCTCACAGGAAATATCACCTAAGTTAGCATTCCCTTTTGCTTTGGTCAATAAAACTGAAAACTCAAATTGTTGCCCTGCCATTCCTATACTGCCTTATGCTGAAGTGTAATATTTTGCAGGTTAACTTTATAATATAGGTAGGGAATTTTTAAATTGGCAGCCTGGAACAGAGTGAGGGATAAACAATGTCCTATACCAGGATATTACCTGAATGTTCATCAACAAGCTTCCCCTAAGACCATAAAAGTCTCTTGAGCAAAGTTTCTGGTTTTACCATTTTCATCAGGGCAGAGTCCATGCCTTATACTACTAGGAACTCAAATACCAGATTAAATCACTTTGTAACACAGCTACATAGATAGAATAACATAGCCACCTACATCTCACGAGATCATCATCCATGCAGACTCAGTACTAGGTCACTCTTGGAGCTGGGACAGTCCCAAGTCCATGAGAGCACAGGGAGATCAGGGAGATCAGACCGACAAAAGGCCCTCCTTTCCATACCCCCACATCTGCTCTCCCAGGCATCATTTAGACTCCATTTCCTTAAAGACTGGTGCACAAGTATCTATCCTGCTCTTTATTCCTCCTTCCCTCACCAGCCACCTCTATGAGCTAAATGATATTCTAGAAGAGAGGTTTCAGATAGACCAAATTTCAGTTTTTCCCTTCTCAGTTCATTAGCTCTTCAATACCTACACTGCACTTTGATAGTGGATAGATTTTCTTAATCACGTCCTGATATTACACCTGGACTGGCAACTTAAAGATGCTGTATGTCACTGCCCCACAGTGGTGTCCCCCTATGCCTCTAGTGCAAAACAGAAAGACATCCCATCCTCAAACATTTCACTTTGATCTGTTGAAGCATCACTAATTTTACATTACAGGTGAAAATACTAAGGCTAAGAGATGAATGGCTAGCACACCATTCTTTTGATTTTTTTACCCAGAACTAACCAGAGTCCATGTTATTATTACAAAGGAAAAAAAACAAAAAACAAAAAACCTTTGAACACTCAAGCACGCCACGTCAGCCTTCATGCAGCCAAATGTTTAAAAACCGTCCATAGTTAGATATTGTGATTAATCGGCTTTTTTTCTCACTAGAATTGTCCTCCTTGGGGAAAAGTCTGTTAAACCAAACTGCCAGTTTATGAAACTATAAAGCTGTAAGATGCAAGACCATGGATTTTGAGACATGTTGACAACAGAATGGAATGCACATGGGCACAAACTTGAGACACAAAGCCAGACAAAACCACAAGTGAGCACAGCTCATGGCAAAAAAATGAGGGCTAGTGCTGTTTTTCTGGAAGCTAAGTAGTCTTGTTCATGAATAGCTTTGGGAATGGTCTCCTTTCCATAAGCAATTCAGTTGGCCCTGTAACTTTCATAATGGGAAAACAAGTTTATGTTCAGGGTAAGAAAGTATGTGTATAGCTACGGTATGTAATTTACCAACCAATTAGAACCACAAGATAGGAGCCTTGGAGTTTTGAGGGGGAGGGGCAAGGTCATGTCCAATTAGGATGAAGAAATTAAAAAATATTTAAGAGTCAGTTGCTCTAGAAAATGCCAGTTCTTGGGACCAGGCAGGCAAGTGAATGGATGGGTTTCCATCCCGGAAGCCCATGGAATTGTGGCAGTCCACCTTCCCAGTAACTAGATACTTCTTGGCTTCAAGTATCTCAGTGAGTCTCTCCCCTCCAATTCATCTCACCTGTTTACTGATTCCTGGAGTTACCTCAAGGGGCAAAACTTAGTTCTGTCACTTTGTAAGCTTTGATGGTCTCATTCACATCAAGGGCACATGCAGTTACGCGCGGCCTCCTTGTTTTCTTGGGGAGAAAGGGGAGGGAGGAACCAGAATATAAAGAGACAAACCTTAGACTTCAGCTCTAAAGAGCAGCCTTGCTATCCTTTTCGCGGGGACAGGCAGAAGTATGTAGCTCTATTTGACAAGTTGTTTTTTAAACAGTTTGGCATCCTGCAGCTTTGTTACAAGGAGATTCATGAGATTTCCTCCCTAGTTGACCAACACCGAGGGACTAGAAGTCTGAACACCCTCAGGTGGAGGTAAGAAGAATGCTTTCCTACAGAAGGATCCAAAGTCTAAAAGTCTTTCTATTTCTAATTATTCCTAAAGGTATCTCCCCAACTATTGTCAGTGACTTTCTCCCAAAGTGACAACATGGCAAGTCAAATTGAGCTGAGACTGGACACTGACTAGTCTCGGTTCAGGGCTCTCGCTTTCAACAGCCCTTTACCAAGAAAGGCATACTGCCTTTACAGGAAACTGATGCCAATTGCTTCCTTTCAGTTTTGATTCCTTTTCAGCCATAAGTAGCCTTCTACTGGCCTAAAAACCCCCTCAGAGGTTGAGTGAATGGGGAGATAAAGGCAACAACTGTCACCTTGTAAAAATTCTGGTATGCACATTAGCTTTTAATTTGTTTAAGACCTGTTGTGAAACCCTCCATTTTTAGCACTAGCCTTCTAATGTTATTACCTTGCCAAGCTCCCCACTGGGCCAGTTGGAATTCACAGATGTGTGTTAATAACCCCATCATGCAGGCCAAGCAGCTCTATGAAAGCAACACACGAAGCACATGGAACACACAGCATAAAATCGATCTATTCTGCAGTGAATTTTATTGAATTCATAGGGGACATTCCTTTATGAAAAATAAAAAACTGAAGTTGTACAGGCATGCTTGGTGAGACCAATCAGTGACAAAGCCTGCTCAGACCAAACTGGAGCAGACACCAGTTCACACCACAGCCCACACGAAGGTGTTTTTATTCAATACAAATAAACAGCAACAAGGCTAACACACTGAGACCATAAAGCACTGAAACTTTTTGTGAGTTCGACCAATGTACCATCTAGCATTCTTTTCTTACCAGCCAGGTAAACAACAGAACACGTCTGCTGATGCCAGACATTTTAAAGCTCTGAATCCAGTTAGAAAAGACTACAACTGGGGACGTTTTTCCTAGCTAGCTGCTTCCCCAATTCCAGGTTGTCTAGCAGGTTAATTTCAACAGAACAGAAAGGATCATCTGGCTGGCTGAACCATCTACTGGTGACAAGGACAGGTTTAATGTGTTTTGTGCTGAGGCTGCTGGGCCTGACTGGTTGTGTCCTTCTCTGCACCTTGGTCCTGAGCATTCTGAGATTCGGTCAGCTGAGGATAAAAGGGACCTACCAGCCAGTTGAGAGGTGTGTTGTTAACAAGATAATCCATCACATCATCTAAAGACTCCTTCATTTTCTGCAGCTGCCCCTTGCTAGAAGTGAGGAGGCCGTCAGACACTTCCTTAAAGGAGGCAGCGTTGCGGAACACTGAGTAGATGTCACCAGCCATCACCCCCACGTTACTGGCCTGATCCTGGATGTTCTGTGGTAACCCCTGGATGTTGGACAGCAGGGTGTGGCACGTGGTCTGGAGCTGCTGAGTCAGGTTGCGGGCAATAGCAAGGGTACGTGACTCAATGTGCTAAAAATAAAGCAAGTTTAAAAATTAGCAGTGAATCCAACAGGGCTATTTAGCAGTCAGTTCAATTACAGTAAACTGGGTATGTGTCTACCACGTATGTGGATTCTTTGACTTTTCAAAATCCTCATTAGAACCCAAGAATACAAGAGCAGTTCTGTCCACTTTTCAGTAGGCATATGAGCTTTGGGAAACCAAAGAACCACTTTCTAGGACTACAGCATGGTACTTCTTCTGCCTGGAACATCCAGGCCCTTACTACCCTTCCACCTAGTTTATTCACCCATTAGACCTCAACTTAGCACTCCTCTCTTCCAGGAAGCCATCTGACTCACCCGTCCTTTCTCTAAGGCTGAGTTAGTTTCCTTTCCTATACATTCTCATAGCACCTGTGTTGATGCTAGCAGAAAGCACTGTGGCAATAAAAATGCCATATCACCTGTGAGTCTGTGCCCCTTATGAGGGCAAGGCCTAAGTTTCTCATTTAGTTGTATTCTGATATGGGCAAGACGTGGGTCTGTAGGTTAAATTACTGCACATTTTGCTTTTCTGTCACTGAACAACCTATGTACCCAGTATTGTTCAAACTTGTGATAGAAGACAGTATTCTAAGAGGAATAATGGGAAAATGGAAATGAAAAATAAAACATCTTCAGAAACTGTACTGGATGACTCTCCCCAGTGTCTCACCTCAGCACAGTGGGATTCATCTGTATCATCATGGCCGATGCTTCTCTTCCATTCCACCCAGGAGAGATAGAACTTGTCCTGAGCACCCTGAATTTTCTGGTTGGCACTCTGCACATTCTTCCTGGCAAATTCAATCTGGAGTATGTTGAAATAACACAAAGGAACAAACCAGTCAGACATGCATTCATATTAGCCGGTTCTCAGAGGATATAAATCAGACAATATAAAAAACAAGAATTTCCATGAGAATTTAAGGAGAGTTGTCCCCACTATCATTGTTATTTATTACCAGTTTTTGTAAATCAACCTAGTAATCATAGTTTTTTACTGCCTTTATTTATTAAACCACTGTCTCCAAATTTACATCCACTTTAGCACAGGTAAGGCAACTCAAATTTAACATGTATATACATAATACATAAAATTACAAAAGGAAAAGGAATTAAAACCCCCTCTTCCCTGTTGCCAGCTACCTCTTTCCCCTTCCAAGAAGAAACCAGCTTCTAAGGGTAGTACAATACAGACTGTTCTGCAACTTGGCAATCTTTAATGGCTACACAAGTCTTTTATGATGTATCAATTTAATTAGTTTCTGATTAGTTGACAGGCATCGTTTATAGTGTTTTGTAACTCTAAACTTATCTGTGCATCTATAAAGAAACATTTTTTTTTTAAATGTTTATTGTTGACAGAGAGAGACAGAGCATGAGCAGGGGAGGGGCAGAGAGAGAGGGAGACACAGAATCCAAAGCCGACTCCAGGCTCCAAACTGTCAGCACAGAGCCTGACTCGGGGCTCAAACCCACAAACGCTGAGATCATGACCTAAACCGAAGTGGAACGTTTAACTGATGGAACCACCCAGGAGCTCCTACAAGGAAACATTTCTAAAAGTAAAACTGCCTAAGGCATAGGTGTGTTTGTAACTTGCCCAGAACAATCCCTCGTATCCCCCAGAAAAACACAAGTACAGGCACACCTCTTTCTCTACCTCACTGCCCACAGCATCAAATTTTGCCACTGTGATAGGCCAGGGGAAGCACCTGGAACTTGGCCCCTCAGAAGAAGACTAACATCGCTTCATGTATTTCAGCCATTTATCGTTCCTTTTCGGTGAGTTGTCTGTATAACTCTTTGCCCATTTTTCTACTGGGTTGTTCACAAGATTAAAATTCCTGGATGTCATGATTACATTTCTCTCATCCCTCCAGAGGGATGAGCTCACTTTAGCTACCTTTAAATGAAGTTCTACTCACCAGGTTAACAGTGGAATGGAGCTGAGAAATGGTCTCTTGGCTTTTTTGCTTGGCTTCTTTAACCCTGCTGAGGGCCTGCTGGTAGGCACGTGAGCGGAGCTTGGTAGACAGGGATCCCAGCCTAATGTAATAACTTGGCTTCTGAACCGTATCAAACCCTTCAACCTTTTTTGCTTCTTTTTCTGAAATTAGAAATAAAGGAACAAAAATCCCAAGGGATCACATCTAGAAGTGAGGAGGCCTGGCCTCTAACCTGGATCTTACCTTGTTGATTCTACCCACCCACCTAGCAATTATGCTCTCATTCCCCCAGGACAGCTCCTGTCTGCTTCTGGGCTTGACCACCCAAAACACACTGCATCTGACATCACTGCATCTGACATCTTTATCTACATGTGTCTCAACCCCCCCCCCCACCCCTATCAGTGAGCTTCTTGGGCAACACAGTATCTGGCACATAGTAGGCACAAAATGTTTAATGATTCTGTAAAGCAGCCCACTGAAAATAACCCATTTATAGAAAATTTCTCTAAGTTAATTTCTCCCAAAGTTTCCAAACTTACTATGTAGAATTCTATATGAAACAACTCAGAATCAAACAGGTGACTTTTGGTATACGAAGTAGATCTCAATGAAGCAGTTTTAAAAGACAGATTTAAGATATAAACTAGGAGTTCAAGACAAATATCCAATTACCTAGTTCTTTCTCAGTGAGAGGGAGGTACTGGTCTACCAGCAACTCGGATTTGGTGAGTGCATTCTCTACTCCACTGCTAACCAGCTGCATCATCCGACTTCCCAAGACTGTGTTAATGCCGCCATTGACCACAGACTTGGTCTTCTGCACACTGCCAGTCACTGCTCCTTTGGTCTTGTCCATCACCCCAGTGATGGTGCTGGCCATGGTATCCTTGGCTCCAGTCACAGTAGTTGTCACAGCATCTTTTGCCCCAGTCATAGCACCTCTGGCATTGGCAACAACCTACAAGTAAAAAAAACAGATTGCTTGGCTGATCAGAAACACAGGTGTAAATATAGAATTATAGTCTTAACGAGGACAGCCTCATTGGAAGTGCTTAACAAGGAATCTGGCCCTTTCACTCTCTAGCTTTAGGTCTTGGGCAAATCGCCAAGAGTTAATAAGCATCAATTTCCTCAGCAGATCTATCTGCCCTATCTGCCACCGCTCAAGCGTTGCTGGAGGAGCCAATAAGGTAAAACGATACAAAATGTGTCAAGGTATTTCATTTGAACTAGGACAAACATGTAATAAGGTACAAAAGATCCTCTAGAGAAGAATGGCATTTTCCATGTTGACATGCTCACAGTGAGAGCAGCAGCCCAGGCACACCTAGGAGCATATAGACAGGTGGTACCATGCCCACCTGGCCCTAGGAGCACAGCCCCAGAAGGTCAACACCTGGGCAGAGACGTCAGTTCCCCATCCTAAAGGATGGGCTCTCAGACACCGTGAGAAAAATGTTTATATACCACCTCTTCATTTATCTAATACCATATGGGAATCAGTTTTTTGTGACAGCAATATCATCTACAGAGGCAAAGCCACAAATCAATAAAGATCATACTAAAGCATGACAACCAAAGGGGGAGAATTCATCTTGTTCCTTAGAGACAACCTGACAGTAATTCAGCAAGTAAGGGAGTGGCCATCGCTGTTTCAAAAATACATTCAGGAGGAGAATTTATTTCTCCTGTTTATGGCAAGTTCATGACACGCACAGCCTGGGCTAACCAGACAGAACATGAAGACGTGTGAGGCAGCAAGCCTTGGCACTCTTGCCCAACCAAGCTCACCTGGTTTGTTGGCTGATTCAGAATAGGCAGTTTCTCCTCAATCCTGTCGAGCCCCTTACAAGCATAGGTATTAGCAACCGCAACTAGAAGAATCACAAATGAAGACAATGTTAAGTGCAGATAAAAACGTATACTATTATACCTTGGACCTTTGGCATTTTTATAAAAAATTGGAAGAATGTTGATCTTCATTTACAATACAATGCACTGCCTAGTTTCTCTAGCTCAGATGGAAGAGGCTTAGCAGGTTGCTGGCAATTGTCTTCTACAGACAAGGAAATAAGGAAGTGGAAGGGAGCAGCAGGCAGTGGCAACGCCGTGCCAGGTAGGAAGCTGGCTAAGAAGCTTCTTCCTCATCAACTGGTATCTAAGGTTAATGTTAAGAGAAGCCAGGCTTCAACTGAACCCTCATTCAGGGAATGAGGTATCTGAAAATTCTAAAAATTAGCACTTCCTGTCCAGTTTAATCCCTACCTACACTTAATTCAGTAAGTGGAACTGTATTTTGGGTTATTAGCAGGAAAAAGCATGCTAACAGCACCCTGAATGTCACCAACAAAGCACAGATTTTAGTCCAAGCTTCCCTTCCAATGATGGCCAAGCCAAGCACTAGTAACGAATCCATCTGGGAAGAAGCAGAGTTGGAAAATTGGTCCCTAACGGTTCCTTATAATCCCAGAAGGCCATGATTTAACCATTTAGAGGAAGTATCTAAACCTTTACTCAAAAGCAGTTAATAACATGAAAAAATGGAACCCTTCCTACACTACTAGTGGGAATGTAAAACGGTGCAGCTGCTTTGGAAAACAAGCCGGCAGTTCCTCAAAAACTTCAGCAGTTAACATATGACCCAGCAATCCCACTCCTAGGTATATACCCAAGACACCTGAAAACATATATCCACACAAAATCTTGTACACGAACGTTCACAGTAACATTCAAGATTTAGCATCGCCAAGGGGTGCCTGGGTGGCTCAGTCGGTTAAGCGTCCGACTTAAGCTCAGGTCACGATCTCACGGTCCGTGGGTTCGAGCCCCGCGTCAGGCTCTGGGCTGACGGCTCAGAGCCTGGAGCCTGCTTCCGATTCTGTGTCTCCCTCTCTCTCTGCCCCTCCCCCATTCATGCTCTGTCTCTCTCTGTCCCCAAGATAAATAAACATAAAAAAAAAAAAAAGATTTAGCATCGCCGAAAGTAGAAGGAACCCAAATGTCCCTCAACTGATGAATAAGTAAAATGCAATCTATCCACACAATGGAAAATGATTCCACAATAAAATAAGGCACTGATACAACACGACATGGATAAACCCCAAAGACATTATGCTAAATGAAAGAAGCCAGTCATGAAAAACATTTCTTATGGTTCCATTTATATTAAATGTTCAGAAAAGAGAAGTCTATAAAGACTGAAAATAGATTAGTAGTTGCCTAAGGGGGTTGGAAGGAGATGGGGAGAGACTGCTAATGGGTGTAAGGTTTCATCCTTTTATTTTTTTTAATTGTAGCAAAATACAAACATACACTTCACCATTTTCACTATTTAAAATAAAAATGGTTTTACCTCTGCATAATTCAGAGGCATTAAATTCATTCACAATGGTATGAAATTATCACATTATTTTCAGAACTTTTTCAACAGAAAGAACTTTTTCAACAGAAACTGGTATGAGGTCCCTTTCTGAGGTGATGAAAAGGTTCTAAACGGATTATAGAGATACTTGCACAACTCTGTGAATATACTAAAAACTACTTAATTGTACACTTTAAGTGGGTGAGTTCTATGGTGTGTTAATTGTACATCAAAAATATGTTACTTTTGACAATAGTTCATGCATATTGTGTGATCCCAAGGAAATCAGTTATTCATTTCACCCACTAGCTCCCCTTGTGATCTCTGCTGACAGAGGCATCACTGGAGGACTGTTTAACTCTCGTGAATATCTGCTATTGTTATGAGGCAGACGCTTTCCATAACAATAAGGGCCACCGGTAGGGCTTTTTTTTTTTAAGTTTATTTTTGAGAGAGAAATGGAGAGCAAGCAGATAGAGAACAAACGGGGAGCGTCAGAGAGATGGAGACAGTCAGCACTGTCAGCACAGAGCCTGATGTGGGGCTCAAACTCACAAATCGTGAGATCATGACCGGAGCCAAAGTCAAGAGTCAGACACTCAACCGAATGAGCCACCCCAGTGCCCCTACCCAGCAGTTTGTACGTAAAGGCAGTAAGTACCTAAGAAAAGGCAGAGGGGGTTCCCTGAGGCTGCCTCTAAGTGCTAGGAGTCTAAGGCTGGCTTTCACATATTCTAGACAGTTCCTGGCTCACCCTTGCCCAATCCCTTGGACTGAATCTTGAGGAAGAAATCAGAACTCACTTTGTGGCTCCAGCTTCTGGATGATGGGTAGAGCACTCGTCACAGCCACAGAAGTGATGGTCTTCACACCCTTCTCCGCCATCTCGCACACGGACTTCAAGCAAGGATACTGATCCTTTGTGCTGATGTAAGCCGAGGAGACAAGGTCGTATGTGGAGCTCACCAAGGGTAGGTTAGCTACCCTAGTGACCACACTCTGCAACCAAGGCAGAGGAAATTGTTAATTCCTCAAAACACACAGGAGGGAAAGGAATCAAGAAACTGTACTTAAAGGTCATACCGGTTGTGGATTAACTGCGACCGATGCCATTTTTCCTCCTGAAGAAAGAAATCTGTGGAAGAGAAACTTCTTTCAAGACACCAGGGTAAGACTCTCCCAGACTCAGTCCCCACTCAAGTAAATGTTAATTTCAAGAGAAACATGCAAGATACAGTAGGTGTGGTCTTCTGCATTTCTCAAGCTGGCAGCTCTCCCCTAGGCAAACACCTTCTGAGGCCGGCTTTCAGAATTTATGGGTAAAATTCCAATAGAAAACAGGGTCTATAGGAAACAGCAAAGTTATTGGGATGTTTGTCTTGTTCTCCACCAGGATATTAGGAATGCCTTTTGAAGAGGAACATCTGTTCACAAAAACTGTGGAACCAAATTAAAATCCATGATAAAACTATAGAGAGGGGTGCTTGGCATGGGTCAGCATGCGACTCTTGATCCGGGGTTGTGAGTTCAAGCCCCATGCTGGGTGTAGAGATTACTTAAAAATATTTTTTATTAAAATTTAATGGTTTTTCTTCTTTTTTTTTTTTTTGAAAGAGAGAGAGAGAGAAACAGCGCAGGAGGTGCAAAGAGAGAGAGGGAGGCACAGAATCTGAAGCAGGTCCCAGGCTCTGAGCTGTCAGCACAGAGCCCCAGGGGCTGGAATTCACTAATCAGGAGATCATGACCCTGACCTGAGCTGAAGTTGGAGGCTTAACCAACTGAGCCAACCAGGCGCCCCTAAATGTAAAATATTTTTTAAAAAGATTTCAAGTAGAAGACATCTTTGACAAGACCATCTGTGATAACATGAGGCACCGATAAATACCTCTGATAAAATGGAGCACTTTAGGGGAATTTATTCCTTCCTTTGAAGGGACTGCAACTAGTCTAGGGGAGACTAAAGCACGAGAGGGAAGGCGGGCTCCCAGGAATTGAGAAACATTCCAGGAGGCTTTTAAATGTTCATTTAGTTCCTCCAACGACTATACACCCACATAAAACTGCCTCACTGCTAAGCAGCAGACCTGGGAAGGAAGAATCTATCTGCACGGCCCGCTGTCCACCACTTCAGGGCTAGTCAGTCTACCCTCCGGTCGCCCAGGGTCCCAGAGACACAGAAAATGAGTAAGAGCCACCCCGAAGGGGAAGTCAGGCGCCAGCACCCACAGCCTTGCTGCCGCCGTGAACCCCACAGAGTTCTGCCTGGAGACGATTTGCTAGCACATTTCCTTTCCGATAATGTACTTTCGGGGACAAATGGAAACTGTTACCGCGCAACCAAGCCAAGAAGCTACACCCGCACTGAAGCTGCTGGCAGAGATTCCAGAAAGAAAAAAAAAAAAAAAAAGCAAGACTGGAAAGCGCAGGCCCAGGAGACCGCCCCTTCCCAGCCCGGACCCGGAAACCGCCCCGAGGCCGCGAGGCGGGCAGGCTCCGGGACCACCGCCCCGTCCCCTAGCCTGGAGCCCCGAGGGGGACCCGGGCCAGGCCGCGGGTCACAGAGGGGGCGCGCACCTACCAACCGATATTAGCACAGAGAGACCACGCTCCGACGAGTCCCACGCGACGTTCAAAGCCAGGCTCTGGCCACCCGACTATATACCCCGCCAGCCCCGCCCCCCGCGCCCCCGCAGCACGTGACCCGCGGCCCCGACGCGGAGCAGCCGCAGCCCCGCCCGAGGGTCGCGCTCCCGCCGGCGTGGGCGCCCTGCCAGGCGGGTGGCGGAGGTCGTCGTTGCGCCGGCGGCCTCGCCGGTTTTGGAAAAGGAGTCGGTGGAGTCGCGTTACGAACGAACCGTAACCTGTTGATTATCGTCAGTCCGCAAAACAGAGCTGCCTTTAAAAGCGGAAACGACGGCTTCTGGGATTATTTTTAGCGAGTAAATGACTTCTAACGTTTGGTGAAATTTTAACCTGATGACGGTCCTGTAGAGATTGTTTTATTGCTTTTTTGTCTTTAAGGTTAGTTTTTCAAATGTATTTCTCACTTATTTAATTCACAAGAAGGGCTTTAGAATGCCGTCGGTTGGTCTCCTTTTTTTCCCCCAGGAACAGTTATTTCCAAATGACTCCAGGATGGTAGCTGCCTGTGCTTATTATGCAAGATGGTCTATAAAAAAAATTGTTAACGCTTTTTCAAAGAAAGAAAGGGTAGTTACATCGTTAACATTTGCGTCCCAGTTTTTTTCGTCTTAAAAGGCAGGGAGTTGAACCAGATTATCTGAGCAAACAAGTTGCAACGGCCCCGGGCAGGGTAGGAGCTCCGTGGACGTGTCCCCGAACAGACCAGCGGCAGGGGATCACCGCGTGATGTCGCCGCCAGCCTTTGCCCCCTCGCGCTCTCTCACGGGAAAGGCAAACAAGGGACAGGTGGAAGGGGAGCTAGCGCCCGGGACGGCCGCCAGGTCATGGCCGCCTCCCGGGGCCTGGCGACTGGCTGTGTCAAGCAGCGGCGTTTCAACTGTGGAAAGCTCTCAAAAGACATACAGCTCCATTACTTAACTTATGGTGCGTGCACGTAGATACTGTGTATCATATCTGCAGCTCCAAACTGACCATTAAAAATGTATCCCGTACGTTTTTAATGGATGGCTGAGTCGGTTGAGCGTCCGACTTCGGTTCAGGTCATGCTCTCACTGTCCGTGAGTTCCAGTCCCGCCTAAGGCTCCGTGCTGACAGCCTGGAGCCTGTTTCATTCTGTCTGTCTGTCTGTCTGTCTCTCTCTCTCTGCCCCTCCCCCACTCATTCTCGCGCTCTCTGTCAAAAATAAGTAAACATTAAAAAAAAAAAAAGCATCCCTTATACAAGACCGAAGCCCTGCATCTAGAGGCCCTCCGCAAGAGAATACAGTATTTCTCCCTCCCTTCGCACCCTGCGATTCAAAATGAAACACAATACTAAACCATAAGATAAATGTTAGGAAGTCCAAAAAGGTACGGGGTTGGTTTATGTTTTCCCCCACTATGTTGACATTTTCAATGCTTTAAGCAATCAAATTCTTTCTCCTTTTTTTTTTTTCTTTCTGTTGTTCCAGCTTTGTTAGGGCTATCAGCAGAGGTTTGGTGTGTCAGTTGTTAATCGAACCCATGCTGTGATGTAAGATGGCAGGAATGTATTGAATTTTGAGTAATAAAGAGTTGAGTGGTTTTTTTTCTTTTTTTACTTCCCTCTAATCTGACCTCTCATTTTGCAACAGAGAACTCTTGCCCTTTCACCTACAATGGCTCCATTTTGTCCTCTTTTGTTTTAAACCCCTGAGTCACTTGTCCTCCTTAAGGCTGAGCATGCTTCCTTTTGCTTTTTTATTTCTGTAAAGGTGAGGGCTCCAGGGACTAATCTTAAATCGGTTAAGCATCTGACTCTTGATTTCATCTCAGGTCCTGATCTCACAGTTTGTGAGTTCACTCTCTTCTCCACCCCTCCCATGCACTTGCGCTCTCTCTCTCCAAATAAATAAACTTAAAAAAATTCTTTTTAAAGAATTGTTTTTGCGTAGTGCGGTAGGGAATTAGTGCATTAGAATCGCCTGGGTACTTGTTAAACATTCAGCCTCCTTCCCCAGACCTACTGAATTAGGATCTCCAGGGAGTGAGGCCCAGGAGCCTGCATTTTTAACAACACCCCTTTTGAATATCACCCCTTTACTCTTGACATAGCACATTCACATATTCCTCACATTTGAGCCTCACAACAGTCTCTAAACTCAATGAAATGGGGATTGTTAACTCCCATCTTCTAAATGAAGAACAACTTCAGACAAGTTATGAGATTTGCCCACAGTCTTATGACTTAGCAGCCAGCCAGGCAAGATTAGATCCTAAGGGCATGACCTGGACTCCTTACCTAATTTCTCTTTGTCTTAGTTCCCTCATCTATAAAGTGAAAATAATAGTCCTTCATGCTCTAAATAAAGGGTATATAACTGTTCACTGTACTAGTTTTTCAACTTTTCTGGAGCTTAAGATGTTTCAACATACACAGTAGAGGAAATAATGTAGCAAAGAGAGAAAATGAGCGGACCTGTCATTACATGCAATGTCGTGTAAATCAAAGAGGCTTCAGACAAGTAATACTATACAAAACAAATTCAGTGAGCTCTGCTGTTAGAAGGATGGTAGTTGGTTTGGGGGCTGAGGAGGACTGGTGACTGGATGGGACCACCGAAGGCCCTTGGGTGCTGCTAATTTTGTTTCTTCTGCTGGGAGCTAGTGACTATGCTCTTTTTGTGAAAATTTATTAAACTAAAATAAATTTAACCCCCTCCCCCCCTCCATGGCTCAGTCAGTTAAGCGTCCGAATTCGGCTTCAGGTCATGATCTCAGGGCTCATGAATTTGAGCCCATGTTGGGTTCTGTGCTGACAGCTCAGAGCCTGGAGACTGCTTCAGATTTTGTGTCTCCCTCTCTCTCTGGCCCTCCCCATTTGCACTCTGTCTCTCTCTCACACTCAAAAATAAATATTTAAAAAATTTACATAAATGTATATTAGTATAATCTTATATAATATTTATTAATATATATAATAAAATATATTAAACTTCTATATATTTTTGTATTTGTTATACTTCTCTAGGAAAGTTTTGAAAAGTTGAGAAAAGGAAAAAATATAGTTGTGCTTACTTCATAAGGTTTTTGCAAGGATTAAGTAAATCAATACACTCAACAGAACAATGTCAGGTGCATAGGAATGATAGCTATTATTAAGGTTTTCTAACCACACCCAGAGCTTTTTTTGTCCAAGAAAACCATGCTGGGCATTGAGTGAAGAGAACTCAGCTCACAGAGGAAAAGAGAAGGGATCCCAAGGGACCAGCAATATCCCAACTCCTGCCCAGCCTTCCTTCCTGGACTGCAAAGTAAGGGAGACCCTGTTGACCGAAGACAACGGTCCTAGAGTTGTAACAACTCAACCTTCTTTGAGTATCTTATTGATACAGAGCAATAGTGAAATAGCAAGAAAAAAAAATGTGGCAATTAAGTGTCCTCTGGAAGGGCCAGGGCAACAGGTTTCCTCCCCCACTATTTCTCTTGGCTGACCCATAAGGACTGTGTGCACCAGCTACATCCATCCACACAGGCTCCTCCTACAGGCTTCTCCCCCTCCCCTCCCTTGCTCTTTGGACATACCCTCAGTCTCTTGGTCTGGAATGCCTGCCCATCTGGCAAACTCTATTCACTCTGCGACACAGCCCTTCACCTCTGTGAGGCCCTCCTCAACCCCAAAGCCACACACTGGTACATGGCAAGACTGAGCCTCAAACAGGTACGTCAGGCTCCAGTATCTATACTGCTTACCACTAATTGGTATGTGCTCTTAGGCAATGAGTGAACTTGACTCTCATAGGCCTCAGTGCCCGTAACATGAAGGAGTTAGATGGTATCTAGGGTTCCTTCCAGCTGTATTGTCTTAATCCAAAAAATAACAATACCTTACGTTCTTTATGGCTTTATAATGTTCTTTCTATAAACCTTATTCCAAACCACATGGGGGCCTCTTCCTATACCCTTATCATAACACAGACCTGTCCAAACATAGGAAAAATAATACTATGCTCATCTTTTCTTTTCATCTAAGCTTGAAATTAGATAAAACTGCTTTTCTCACGGACCAGAGACAAAGATAATGGATCACAAGTAATAAGTAATGAGGCCAGATGATTTCTGTTTTGACCAGTTCAAACTGGTCACCAGCAGGAAAAATTTCTTGGATGACCCAATTAATGTACTTTCCTAATCATGCCCAAACCTGATCCTCTGGCATTCTTCTCTTATTCCCCTACAAATAGTTTGGAGAGGAAACAGCAACTCCTCTTTCACATGGACTTTATCTTAACTTAGTTGCCAAACAAATCAACCTCCTTCTCCTTCTAAAAGAACTCTATAGGGGTGCCTGGGTGGCTCAGTTGGTTGAGTGTTTGACTTCGGCTCAGGTCATGATCTCATGGTTCATGGGTTCAAGCCCCACGTCGGGGTCTGTGCTGAACATTTCAGATTCTGTGTCTCATTCTCTCTCCCCCTGCCCGCTCACACTCTGTCTCACTCTGTCTCTCCAAAATGAATAAATGTAAAATTAAAAAAAAATTTTTTTAAAGACCTTTATATATTTCAGCCTGCCAGGACCCCTTCTCTTCTTTGTTTGAAGTAGGTAACCTCAGGTAGAAGCATACAAAAGATAGATCTCATCAAATTTCAAATCTATTTCTTGTCTGATGCATTACTATTTCCCTCCATCTTGTAGCTAGTTATAAGTTTGAGATTTTATAAACTGAAATGATCATGGACTATTACAACTTCATGTATTTTCTTTTCTGAATTAATGAATGCAATTATTAAATGAGTTCATAATACAGCTTTTTGTTATTTATATCCAGTTTATTCCCTATCACACAGAAAGGACTTAAATTGCTTTATAAAATGCATAGAACAAGAATATATTTTAAATAGGTCAGAAAAATAAGGTAAAGAGTAATTAAAATGAAGCTTACTGTTTGTTTATTTTTTTAAGTAGTCTCTGTGCCCATTGTGGGGCTCAAATTCACAATCCTGAGATCATGAGTTTCATGTTCCACTGACTGCTCCAGCCAGGTGCCCCTGCTTACTGTTTT